AATTCGAATTCGGTTCACTTGAAAATATTCCTTTCTTGCTGAATAAATTCATCCTGGGTGAATTTTTTTTTCTGCAGTAAGAATTATTATTTTATTTATGCTCGTGAGCTGTAAAAAAAAAATATATCCAGTGGGTCTATTGTGTTACGAAAGACCCGTGCAATCAAAATTTGAAATTGCGAACTTTTGCACATTTTTGGGCAAAAAAATATGATGGAATTTATGGCAAGTTCAAAATTCGTCAAAAATAGAGCGAAATGAGAAAATGTGATTATATACAGTACTCGCATCTTCTTGTTTTTAATATTTTTTTTAGATTGATAAAAGGAGAAAGTGGCTCGGATAATAATAAAAAACTTGCAAAGCTTTCGAAGAAGGCTCAGTTTTTAAGGTTTATTATGATCTTTTTATGAGTGTCTGGAACAGAAGAAATATTTTTTCAATTATTATTTAAGGGAACTATTTTTTGCACGACAAAACGGATTAGTTTCTTTATGTCGTCACTTTCTGTATTATCATGATTGTGAAGATTTCTATGAGGACTGGTTGAGTTTTTTTGGATGAACTTTCTGCCTAATTCTTTTTCAATTTTCGAGCTCTTGAAAAGGTTTTTTGTGTGCATTTTATTTATTTTACCCTCTATGGGGGTTTTTTTTTCAACAGAGTACAGATGCTCTCTGACCTTCAGGTCTGCTGGTTGGTTTTCAAAGAACCTTCATGCCGTTGAAGGATTCGTTCTTGACGAAAGGTCAGTCATTACTTGATCATCTGATGCCAAAAAATATAGGTTTCTTGATTCTTTTGTGTCGGAAAACCCTGCCATGCAGTACTGTATTATATACGCTTCTCAGAAAAAAAAGTTGAATGACCGGGAAAATGTGATAGATTTAGAAGAATTGAAGAATTTTGTTTGATGCAGTAAAATGGCGATGAATTGTGGGTAGATGTTGTTGGGCAAGCACCCCGCGCATTAGTAATTAAACATAAATTCCTAGAAATCATTTCCATATCCTCAAAATTGCACCTGACACTGTAGCATCTTCAACTCTTAAATTCCTGACCTATTAAAAGTGTTTTCTGTAGAAACCAATGAAGGTTAAATATATCTCTTGAGTATATAAGAAGCTCATGTAATGTCAGATCATCATCATCAGTAGTTGAGTTGAGTTGAGTTATTCATTTTTTTGATCCATCAAATCCTGTTGTGATTATAACTCCATTTTTTTGAGTATGATTGAAATAACCCCGAAAGAAATCCTTCCTCTTTGGAAAAGAAAAACGAGTTTATTCATGATGCTCGTCATATTTTTAGATGAGAGGCCCATCAATTAATCTTTGATTAAAACTCCTTAACCGAGGCACCTTGTATTTTTTCTCAAAAGTTCTAAAAGTCGTCCAAATATGTTTTTATTTTCTGGTTTGCCAATTCATCCCGTATAAAAACCGATGAATTTGAGTTTTAATCGAAGACTCATTGATGGACTTCTAATGTGAAAATATGAGAAACATCATATTTTCAGATGAAATTCAAATTTTCAGATAATTTCCGTATAAAAACAGATGAATTTGAGGTTTATTCGAAGATTAATTGATGGAACTCTAATCTGAAAAAAGATGAGAATTATCATATTTTCAGATGAAAATCATATTTTCAGATAATTTCCTATAAAAACAGATGAATTTGAGTTTTAATCGAAGACTAATTGATAGACCTCTAATCTGAGAATATGAGAATTATCAATAAATTAATCATTGTCCAGAAAGAACGGATTTCTTCTGGCGTTATTTCTTAATTTTAAAAAATGGAGTTATAATCACAAACGATTTCATGGACTTCAAATATCAAAATGTGCGTGGTAATTGGAATATCGTTTATCTTTCACACAAAAAAAGGATTCCTTCTGTAGTTAAATTTTTTAATTTCTTTTTCTCCGTATCACGTATTCAACTTGATCGTGAGGACACGCAATCAAAGTTGCTCAAGTGAATCTAAAATTCGTGTCGCGTGCAAAAAAAAAAAAAAAAAAGATTTACGAATCCTTACAATACCTCTTTCTTCGTAAATCCATTTTCTNAAAAAAAAAAAAAAAAAAAAAAAAAAAAAAAGATTTACGATTCCTTACAATACCTCTTTCTTCGTAAATCCATTTTCTGAGTTGGGGAGTCTATATTACTCTATTAGCATCGTACTGCGTGATACAGTATCAGGAAAGATAGATTTCTTACAGTGTGAGCCACAAAAAAACAAACTTCTTCAATTAAATTTGGATAAAATAAATGGATCAAATTGTAATTACTCTGGAGTTTCATTGGTGGGGATCGAAAAAACATTTTAAACATTCGTGTCTCCTGATTAATTGGAGCTAATGCATTTTGAAGATGGGTTGTGAAAGATTTTGTGAGAACATTTGTTGTTCATCAAAATGATAGGAGAAAGATCAGTTCTGAATATGCCTCGAATGATAGGAGCTACTGCCTTTTAAAGAGGGCCTGTCAAACATTTTTTAAGAAAACATTTTTTCATCAAATGGAAAATAGGTCAATCAATCAAGGCTCGGGGTCTTGTTTAGAATATTCCAGAAAGCCGGATTGAAATTACAGTACTGTATATCATTAAACGGTCAGCAGAAAATATTTTTTTTTATTTCAAAGACTATTCAAATTTCAAATTATATTTTCGGCAGTTATCTGAATACCCGTGATGTCGGTCCTGTCTTACGAAAATCGTTTTACACGGTGTAAAAAGTGAACGTTTTTCAAATGCGGGGGATAAATTTGCTTCATTCTAATAAAAATCTAGCATTTTGAAAGAAAAATCTCTGTACTTCATTTCCTTCATTCAGTGACACTATTGAAAAAATTTTGAACTTTTACTTGAGCTATCACCGTTTAAAGAATGTGTTGGGGGTTTCTCCGATTATCTTTTCTTTTATCGCAAATTCATAATTACAACTTCAGTAAAAAAAAATTAAACAAAAATTAACATTACGAAGAATGTAAATCCAACCATTCAAAGCAAGTGTTGTCTAGAAATGAATTATTTTGTAAATGAACCACGAATTTTGGAAAGCTTTAAAAGACGCATTTCATCCGTTTCCTATGAAACCTAAATTTTCGTTTTGTCAAAATTGCATGGCTGTATGAATTGCAGAAGATCCGTTTTATTCCACCTTTGAAAAAAAAAAAAAAACAGGCTTACTCTAAATAGCGAACTGGGTCAAGTCGTGCTGAGAGAAGAAAAAAAAGAGTTTTTAAAATGAAATGTGCGCCTCTTTTCCCGTGTTGAGTGGCAAGCAATTGAAAAAAATTTTATATTCATTTCTTTTCTACACATTTTTTTCCTCTTTTTGCGTCGGATGAAAAGGAGGAACGAATACATAACATGGAGCAATCCGCCTTGTTGCGTGCACAACATCATCGTGGGGAAGCTGTGGTACGAGCAATACGGACAAATGGAGATTGAGAACCACACTACAAGTACGGTTTGGACGTGAACTTCCTCAATTGAAAAAAAAAAAAAAGGTTTCGCAAGAAAATTAATTCGAATTCGGTTCACTTGAAAATATTCCTTTCTTGCTGAATAAATTCATCCTGGGTGAATTTTTTTTTCTGCAGTAAGAATTATTATTTTATTTATGCTCGTGAGCTGTAAAAAAAAAATATATATCCAGTGGGTCTATTGTGTTACGAAAGACCCGTGCAATCAAAATTTGAAATTGCGAACTTTTGCACATTTTTGGGGAAAAAATATGATGGAATTTATGGCAAGTTCTGAGCTGAAGCTTTAAAATTCGTCAAAAATAGAGCGAAATGAGAAAATGTGATTATATACACTACTCGCATCTTCTTGTTTTTAATATTTTTTTTAGATTGATAAAAGGAGAAAGTGGCTCGGATAATAAAAAAAAATTGCAAAGCTTTCGAAGAAGGCTCAGTTTTTAAGGTTTTTTAGGATCTTTTTATGAGTGTCAGGAAAACATGAAATACTTTACAATAATTTTTTCGAGGGAAATATTTTTTGCACGACAAAACGGAACATTTTATTTATGTTGTCACTCTCTGTATTATCATGAATGTGAAGATTTCTATGAGGACTGGTTGCGTTTTTTTGGATGAACTTTCTGCCTAATTCTTTTTCAATTTTGGAGCTCTTGAAAACGTTTTTGTGTTCATTTTATTTATTTTACCCTCTTTTGGGGTTTTTTTTTTTTTCAACAGAGTACAGATGCTCTCTGACCTTCAGGTCTGCTGGTTGGTTTTCAAAGAACCTTCATGCCGTTGAAGGATTCGTTCTTGACGAAAGGTCAGTCATTACTTGATCATCTGACGACAGAAAAAAAGGGTTTCTTGATTCTTCTGTGTCGGGAAAACCTGCCATGCAGTACTGTATTATATACGCTTCTCAGAAAAAAAAATGTTGAATGACCGGCAAAATGTGATCGATTTAAAAGAATAAAAGAATTTTGTTCGATGCAGTAAAATGGCGATGAATTGTGAGTAGATGTTTTTGGGCAAGCACCCCGCGCATTAGTAATTAAACATAAATTCCTAGAAATCATTTCCATATCCTCAAAATTGCACCTGACACTGTAGCATCTTCAACTCTTAAAAGGACTGGATAATTTTCACAAAAGACATCTTTGGTTACTTCCAATTTATATAGAGAACTCATATATTCTTCGAGTACATTACAGTCTAGTAGTAGTAGTCATCAACTCAACTCAACTCAATAAGTAAAACCAATTTATCTCAGCTGTGAGAAGAGTTTGCTGAGTTGTTTATCAATTACCTTTGTGAAATACATTTTTATCCTGTTAACTTGAGAATTCCCATAAGGAATTCCCAGCTGTGTCCTGGACTGATTGCAATAAGCAACGCTCAACATCAACTTATATTGTGGTGACATATATCCCCAGTAGATGTCACTGGCAGTTCCAAGATAAGTTTGATCGTTAAAAATTTAAATTTCTATGTAAAAAATGAGGAACCTAAGTTCCATTAGGACCGTAGTTTACTCGTTTTGATGACCTCCTTCGTTCCAAGACTACAAAATCACTAATAAATAACTTATTAGATCGGGTCCTATTTTATAATTTGTCCTGAATGCTCCAAGTACTGAAATGGGTTTGTTGATTTTCTGGACGTAATAATGAAGATGCAGTATTGACCATTTTTGATGAATTTCTCTGTTTGAATGTCACATTTGGTCGGAAATACTGTCAAGTCATCGGATTTTGGCACAGAAGAGCAATTTTTTGCGATTCTGTTGTTTAATCCAAAGAAATTCGGATGTGCGAATATTTCTTTTTTGACCTTTGGCGCTTTGAAGCGAATGTAAATTAGTAATTTCTATGCAAATTCCAATATTATGATTATGAACAAATTTTGAAAATTTTCCAAAGAAGGAAGTATTTTAAACATTTTTTAAAATTCTCCCCTGTGATTTTTAGAAAGCAGAGAATGAAGTTCCTCTATGGTCGATGGGTGGATATTTTCAAGTCCATCGGGGTTCAAGATTACGAGGATTATGCCAAGAACAACGACAATAAAATCAGGTAAATACGTTTTTTCATTCATTTTCCTCATCTCGTGATCAAATTTTGTGTCTGTGGGACTCGAGGGGGAATTCAATTGGTGATGTAGTCCCGAGCTTTTCGAAATTTATATTTGTAAATCATGCAACATTTTCCCGTGTTCGCCATTTTTGATCTGATCAAGTGCAAATTCTGGATGAGGGTTTTCCGTGTCCCTCAGGCTTATGCCATAGTAACTTCACGACTTTGTCCTTAATTTTTCTCTTATTCTTTATACAGTCGAACCTCTTAAACTCGAACAGCAAGGGATCAGCCAAAAAAATAAAGTCAAGGAGATCAGCATTTTTGTTGAATAGAAGGACGACAAATTGGAGGGAATTGTAATTGGTGAAGTTCTTTGCCTTATTTTTAAATTTAAAGATACATTTTTTACTCCTTGGATTCAAGGTAATCCTGGCATCAAATGAGCAAAACTACTGGAGGAAGCAAGGTTCTGATGTTTTAGTGATTATTTATTGAATAATCTAGCCCAGTTATTTTATAATTTGTCCTGAATGCTCCAAGTACTGAAATGGGTTTGTTGATTTTCTGGACGTAATAATGAAGATGCAGTATTGACCATTTTTGATGAATTTCTCTGTTTGAATGTCACATTTGGTCAGAAATACTGTCGAGTCTTCGGATTTTGGCGCTGAAGAGCAATTTTTTTGCAATTGTGTTGTTTATTGCAAAGTAATTCGAATGTGCAAATATTTCATTTTTGACCTTTGGCGCTTTGAAGCGAATGTAAATTTGTAATTTCTATGCAAATTCCAATATTATGATTATGAACAAATTTTGAAAATTTTCCAAAGAAGTAAGTATTTTAAACCCTTTTTTAAATTTTCCCCTGTTATTTTTAGAAAGCAGAGAATGAAGTTCCTCTATGGTCGATGGGTGGATATTTTCAAGTCCATCGGGGTTCAAGATTACGAGGATTATGCCAAGAACAACGACAATAAAATCAGGTACAGTAAATACGTTTTTGCATTCATTTTCCTCATCTCGTGATCAAATTTTGTGTCTGTGGGACTCGAGGGGGAATTCAATTGGTGATGTAGTCCCGAGCTTTTCGAAATTTATATTTGTAAATCATGCAACATTTTCCCGTGTTTGCCATTTTTGATCTGATCAAGTGCAAATTCTGGATGAGGGTTTTCCGTGTCCCTCAGGCTTATGCCATAGTAACTTCACGACTTTGTCCTTAATTTTTCTCTTATTCTTTATACAGTCGAACCTCTTAAACTCGAACAGCAAGGGATCAGCCAAAAAAATAAAGTCAAGGAGATCAGCATTTTTGTTGAATAGAAGGACGACAAATTGGAGGGAATTGTAATTGGTGAAGTTCTTTGCCTTAAATTGCTTCTTAAGTGAGTTAATGTAAAGTTAAGTGGTTCTGTTGTGTAATGATTACTTTTTGAATAATCTAGTCCAGTTATTTTATCATTTCTTCTGAATGCTCCATGAAATGGGTTTGTTTATTTTTTGAACGTAATAAGGGACAGTATCGACCAGTTTTGATACATTTATTTGTTTAAATGTCGCACTTGGTTGGAAATACTCTTCAAGTTATCAGATTTTGGCGCCGAAGAGCAAATTTTTTGCGATTCTGTTGTTTATTGCGGTAAAATTTGGATCTGCGAAAATTTCATTTTGACCTTTGGCGCTTGTGTGAATTATTAATTTCTATGCAGTAATTTATATTTATGAATTGCTGAAATAGGAGACGAATGTTCATTTGCCCAAATAGTCTTACACTTTTTTTTTCACAATGCATTAAGTTATACTTTTATTTCTTTTATATTTCCTGTTTCATTGAGATAATGTCCAAAAAGGCTCTTGAAAATTAATTTCTATGCAGTAATTTCTATTTATGAATTGCTGAAATAGGAGACGAAGGTTCATTTGCCCAAATAGTCTTACACTTTTTTTTCACCATGCATTAAGTTACATTTTTATTGCTTTTATTTTTCCTGTTTCATTGAAATAATGTCCAAAAAGCCTTTTGAAAATTCAAAAAGATTAGGTTTAAGAGGGAAAGCCTTTGAATTAGGGAGGCTTTTTAATGTATTGTTTCCCAGGAAATTCTGACAGGAACTTTGTAAAAATTATTTATAACTGGGAGGTATTAGACTTGGTTCGAGTTATCGAGGTTCTTTGCTTCGTTATTTCAATCTACAAATTATTTTGAGCTTTTTTTGGATCGATTAAAAATATATGTGTCGAGGCCGCGCGGTATTGGGACATCCCTTTTTTTTTAAAGTCCCTTATGTTCGGCAGTCGTATTGGTTACACCATTTGTAACTTCGTCCTAAATTTGACTTTTAGTTTGTTTTACTGCTCCTTTATGTTATTCCAAGCCTGATTTTGACCTTTTCGTTTTGTTTGAAAATACAGTGGAATCTCATTACAACGATTATTTGATCACAATGTAGTAGTTTTTCAGGTCCCTGCCCAGTAGCCATCTTGTTGAAACAGGTCGTTTATAACGAATTTTTCGTTGAACTTGAGACAAAACTTTTTTAATGGTCCCAACGGCTTCGTTGTAAAGAGATTTCACTGAATGCAGTATGTGTCGAGGTCTCGGGGTGTCGGGGGAATCATCCCTTCTTATCAAGTCCCTGATGTTTTCCAGTCGTATTGGTGACACTATTTGTAAGTTAGTCCTAATTTTGACTTAATTTTGGTTTTACTGCTTCCTTATTATAGTCTATACATGTTTTGATTGAAAATACAGTAGAATCTCGTTACAACAAATATTAGATCAAAACGAAGTATTTTTCAGGTCCCTGCCCAGTAGCCATCATGTTGAAACAGGTCGTTTATAACGAATTTTTCGTTGAACTTGAGACAAAGCTATGTTAATGGTCTCGACGGATTCGTTGTAAAGAGATTTTACTGTATGCAGTATGTGTCGAGGTCTCGGGGTGTCGGGGAATCATCCCTTCTCATCAAGTCCCTGATGCTTTCCAGTCGTATTGGTTACGACCTTTTTGTTGTCGTCGCGTGTGTTTGTGTTTCGGTTGATTACCTTTCGGTTTCGGTTGCTTACGTTTCTCTCTTCTCTTTTGTTCCTCTCGGTTTCTTTCCTTTTTTTTCTTTCTTCCCTGCCCCATTATTCGTCTACCTCGTCGTATTGTCCCACTCGCCTCACGGTGTTACACTGTAGCTGGTTCTCCGGATTTCACTGGCCCCACATTTTCGGTCCGAATGAAAACAGGGAAGAGCCGCCGAGTAGTCCGATGCACGGCGGCGAGAGAAGCAAGGAAGACGAGTCCGTGTCGCCCGGGAAGCGATCCGGAAGGAAGATGTTGAGCAAACTCAACAGCCTCACGTCATCTGTGAGTAGTGCTATGCACAGCCTCGGGCCGCCGAGCTTCTCTATTGACACCGGCTCTCAGCAACACCCGCTGGATAAGGTGAAGGAGAATTAGGGAATGTGCCGTAATAAATGATGATGATGCTGTGCGAGGAAAGAGATGAGCTTGCTGCGAGTGTTACTGTTGTAGTTATAGACTCGGTGTATTTTACCCAACCCGTGGTCCCCAGAAGTTTTTTATTATTTTTTTTTTTCGGTCCGCGAGAAGTTTTCGGGTGGCTGGAATAACGTCGCCAGGCCCGACCTCGTCAGCCAGGAATAATGTCGTCACGAATTAAACTCGTCGCGGAATATCTTTGTCAGGAATAACATCGTCTTTATGTTCTACCCGAGATGTTGGGACTTGAGGAATTTTTTGCTGGACGAAGTTGGTCCAGTTGTGAAGTGCCGGAAGATTTTTTTCAAGAGTTTGTTCCAGGATAGGCTTGACGACAGTAATCCGGTGTTGGAATTACGACGTTATTCCACCATCCCAAGTTTTCTTCAGGCTATATGCTCTTTTTTTGCATTTTTAATTTTGCCAAGACGATGGCAGTTGAAATTATCTCATTAAAGATATATCTTGGCTTTTCTCCTAATAATGCTGTACTTCAGACAAAATTGTAACCTGATTAAAGAAACTATTTTAATTTTTGAGTCGGAAAAACCTTTCTTCAAGCCCACCTTTCCATTTTTTTTGAAGACATTGCACTATAGCTAATTCATTGGTACAGTACCTGAATTAATTTTGCAAAAAATCAGAAGCTTTTCAAATACCTGCCATTTAAGCAACACTTTTTTGAGCATGCAAAAATTTTATTAAAATTTGCTTTTCCTCAGAACATTTTATGAATATTTGCTGGTCTGAAGAAAATTTTTTTTTTTTAATTTGCCAGTCTGCAGGACCAAAAAGGTTGGGGAACACTGCTGTAGACAGATAAGTTACCAGGGTGGGTTCATAAGTTTTGAGACTTTTTGAAATGGATCAAACAGAGGTTTCAACAATTCCAAAAAAATTTCCTATTTGCGGGTCCCTGTCATTGGTGACTTTTACAGAATTCAAGCTGCAAAAAACGCATTCCAGATGCAAGTGATATCTGAGTGCTGAGGCAGTTATTCAGGGATTGCAATTTAAAGTGCAAATCTACATTTATGGCTGCAATAATGAAGGAAGCTGGAGTATCCCCACTCTTTGGATGTTGAAGGAGGACTTATTATTTTCTCTGGTCACAGGTATCAAAAGACACAATCAGCAAATACAATCTGGCATTGGTGGAATAAAAATAAAATCAGCAAATGAAAAAGTGATTTGCATATGGTGCAACTCACAATGCGCAAAATTCCAAAGCGCATAGCTCTGCCAATTTTTAGATTTACAAAAATCTGCAAGGTCTTAATTTAAAGCCAAAGGTGTTCTCTAACTTTTCTTTAATCATATAAAAATTGATCCAACTAATGAATTGTGAGATATTCTCACTTTTCAAAGCCTAACTTTTTCTTTGCTGATGAGAATCTGGAAAACCTTCATGCCAGATTCCAGTCTCACTGATTGCACAAGCTTTTGGTGCAAACAGTGACTTCAAAAGCCATGTTCCCTAATGCATTTTGAATGAATTTATTTTTGCAATGGGAAACTCTTCAGTACTGTTCAACAAACTCTCTGCCAATTTCAATGTATGTTTCAAGCAATACTGTATATCCAACAATCAAAACAGTGCCAAAAATTGAGTACCATTAGTTGACAAAGATGCTCTTTAACAATAGAGATCAGTCTGTCACTGTTCTCTAAAATCAATCCCTTTCAGGTTCTTTTTCTCTGTTGGGAACAGCCAGAAGTCATAGGGTGCCTAATCAACCAACAGAACTCAATTTTGGCACTGTCTAAATTGTTTAATTGATTCCATGAAAAAAATGTGTTGAAATCGGCGGAAAGTATGTTGAAAAGCACTCAAGTGTTGCCAAATCATAGGGATATACGAGTTTTAAAAAAAATTATAATTGTTGAAACTCCGTTTGATCTATTTCAAAAAGTTTCAAAACTTATGAAGCAACCCTTTTACTGTGTAGGGAAGAAAGAGAGAAGCACGATTGTTGTATAATGAAGCAGCAAATTGCCGTTTTGGTTATACTGTACTGTATGCAGTACAGTATTGCACAGCATGCGAGAGTCTGTCTATTCACGCAGAATTCTTTTATTTTTTGGCGTTTTGTTGTAAATAAAAAAGGTAAAAATAAATATGGGAAAAATGAGCTTGCTGCGCTGAACAGTAAAGTACTGCAGTGTGATGTATACGAAACAAATAGAAACTTCACGATTGCAGCATGATGAAGCAGCAAATTGCCGTTTTGGTTGTATGCAGTATTCAGTACAGTATGTCACAGCTGCATTTTATTTATTTTTTGGTGTACAATATTGCACAGCATGCGAGAGTGTCTCTACAATCAGTTTATTTTCATATTTGTCTTAATTTCATGCGCTTCAAGTTCATGTTGACTGATACCAGTTTATGGCAGTTTTTTCCCCTCAATTTATTGCAATTTATTGAGCATGAAACGGTTTATAGCAGTATTTTGATTCTTCCTCATCTGGACAGACGATATATAGTTGATGTATAAATGGGTACATTGGTGCCTCAGTTGATGTACATTACTAATAATCCGCTTGAGTGGAAAGTTCTTCATCTGGAAAATGTATTGACCGGGTACTGAGCAGCTATCTATGAAAACGACAATAGTGTTCTAGATACCCAAAAGTCCCTTGGCTGAGTTATATGAAACTCAAGATAGTAGAATGAAGGGGAAACAAAAAAGGAGACTTGCAAAACCTTGAAGATACTGCATAATAAAGAACAATGATATGAAGCAAAAGAGAAAGCATATACAGTACAGTGGTACCTCGCACTACGAAAAAAATATGTTTTAAACCTGCAATCTATACCCTCTCTTGAAATTTAAATTGAAGCCTAATTTTAGAACTGTTCTTTTTAGCAGAAACCCCTTAGATGCACTGTTTTAATAAATTTCAATCTGATGAAGAAAATAGTCCTCAGAAAGTGGCACAGGGTTCAGGTGGATTTTTAATGCATTTTTGGGATTGCTGATTCAAAAAAAAATTCTGTGTTAAATAACATTCTTTTCTTCCCCATCAAATATTAATATTATGTATGATTTGTGTAATTTTTTTCGATTTTTTAAAGCAATAATTGATATTTTAAAAAATTTTCGAATTTTTCCGATTTTTTAGGAAAAAAAAAGTTTGTTATGTGAATTTGGTTCGTTCTGCGGAGCAGAAAATGGCGGATTTTTGAGAAAAAAAACGTTCGTTATGTGGAACGTTTGTTTTACGAGGTGTTTGTTCTACGAGGTACCACTGTACTGCAATAGAACAAGCATGTAAAACTCATGAGATAAAAAATAGAAAAGAGCAAGCATGCAGAAAAGGATGCTCACAAAAGAGCAAGGATTTAAAAATAAAAGAGCAAGTGTATGAAACACAAAATGAGCAAGAATTCTAAAATTAGGTAGCATATGTTACAAAAATGAGCAAGAATTGAAAAAGAGCATACTCATGAAACAATTGAAGAGAAAGCATATGAAACATTGATAGAACAAACATATGTAACAATAAAAGATCAAGCAAATGAAACAATAAAATAGCAAGCATCTCAAACAAAAAAGATCAAACATGTAAAAAGAGCAATAACGTAAAAATGGCATAAATGCAAAATTTCAATTGGGCTGGTACAAAAGAGCAAGAATATGTAACAACAGAGCAAGAATATGTAACAAAAGAGGCAAGAATATGTAACAAAACAGCAAGAATATGTTTTGAATGAATGAACAGAACACTTTTATTTGCCGCTTTTCAGCATTCACAAGGTTCAATCAAGATTCTCACAGCCAAACCCCCTTCCCACCCAACCCAAATCCACTCAATGACATTTAATCACTTCAAAACAGAGCACAAATTGATAACAAAAATAAAAGAAAATACAATACAACATGAAATATGAACTGGACATCTGACATGTATGCATACACCCATTCATTCCCTTACATTGGTAACAAAATATATGTAAAAATTCATTTAAAGCGCAAGGTCTTCAGCTTGTATCTGTATGAGGTTTAGTTGAATGAACAAATTACAGAGAATCTATAATGAGAAATGTAATGGAAGAGCAAGTACTGTGTATAGAAGAGTACAATTAAAATAGAGCAGGATTAAAATCAAGTGAATCAACGAATTGAAGCAATCAGGAAAGAATTTCAGAAACCTGGGCCTTGCAGTTTTGCTAGCTTTTAAAGTTATTTCTAGTATCTCTCCCATTTCAAAACTTGCTCTTTGTGGTATAGCAAGAATCTATTCAGGAAGGTACGCATTTTCTGAAAAGTTGGAATATTTTATCTCAATTTTTCGCCACTTGCAAACGTTCAATTCAGAAAAAAATAGCATGTGTATGCTCCCATAATCTCTGCTATGAAAAGAAATTATTACTTTTGAGAAACGCTTCCGATTCAAAATGTCTGCTGGCTTTGGTTTTATTTATTTATATCGTACCTTCAAAACTTTCTTTTGTTTATGAGTGAGTTTTCGATTCTTCTCTGGATACCTGTGTTGCAATATTTCCCATTGCGAAATTCCCGTCATTTCTTCCGCCTCTCCGTGTTTTTTAAATTGTTTTTCCGGACCCGAAGCCATTTTTTTCATGGTTCCCATTCCGGCGAAATACCGAAGATTTTATTTATTTATTCAAAGTTCCTGTTGTATATTTCGCGTCTCAGTTGCATTTTATCGTGATGCAGTTCAGTACTTTTCGCAGGATGGAAACTGGAAATGCTCCGGAAATGCAGAACGTAGATAAAGCCAAACGATATACGCTTTACACAAGGTCCATTCAAAAAAAGAAAAAAGAATAAATGCTGCTATCCCGCCTCGGAAATGTATTATTCCAATCCCCCTTTTGTTATGACATAACTAATGTGTTCGTTGGTTCACTCGATGCGCACTGCAAAGAAGCCAGCATTGCTCAACATTTTATTTTTTTGGCAGAGGAATTTTTGTCATTGATTGATTCTTGTTCATTTTCTTTGTGAATATGAGTTACT